ATTTAAGAAAGAAGGTTTATTTTGACAACCATCAGGATTATTAATGGTGAAGGGTAAAATTTTTCCAATAGTTAGAATAGAAATTGCCCAAGGTGAGTTATAGCTATTCTAGACTACACTCCTTTATCTCACAAAAATCTTTACAATTTTAAAACTCTTGTATTTTTTATTGGTCCAAGACAAAATGTCTGTGATCAGGACCTTGCCCACTCTGTAAGAGCTCATTTAAGATGCGTTAAAATCAATGCTGACTTTTCATCAATAACATAAGCCATCAAATGTTTGCAGTAGAGAAGTTACTAGATACTAAAGCCACTTTAGTGACATCCTAATAAACATTTAATCATCCCTAAGAAAATGTTTCCTTCAATCCCAGTCTTTACAAAGACGAACTCTTGGAGAAGTAAAAGGGATTTCAGAAGTCATTCACCAGACAAAATGGGAGAGAAGTCATCTCTCTTGTAAAATAAAACACATTCATTAACTATCAAGAGCTTCTGGAGTTAGGACTCTGCAGCCTCTCAAATTACTGGAAAGTGTTTGAAAGAAACAATGAAGGACCTTTATTGCATTCCCATATGCATGTTCATGAATAACCAAAACTACTATGATACAGATCTGAGTGAAGGACTTTCTTATAAGCATTTGAAGCAGACCCAGCTGAGAAAGACTTCCTGAACATAGTCATCTGAAAGTTTTAGCAAAAGCACTTAAAATAGAATAAACAATAAGCAGTTGAGATGATGCACAAGTTAATGAACTTAATTTAGCCACTATGCCAGGTATGCATATTTCAGAACTTTTCATAAGCCATAAATATATACAATTTTATTATCAAATTAAAAATAAATAAGATGGAAACAAAAAGCAAAGCACTGAACTCTTTTAAGTGGAGGGGAGGATGAGAGGATGAAAGAGCCCCAAACAAGTCAGCCCTGTTCTTGGATGGCTGCTGACAGGAGACCTCCACAGTGCAATGCTGATATCCAGGTCACCATGTTTGATGAGCTGGAATTTATCTCCATGATGACTTTCCAAATCCTGTAACAGTGACTTACTGTAAATGTCCTTTTTCTTTACTTTCACTCACGCAGCAATATGAGGCTCTAGTTTCAGAAACAGTGGGATCAAAATGCTTCCAAGGCGATCTCTCAGTGCCAGCACTGATGGTGGAATTCTTTGTCAGGCCAGTCCTAGCTCTGGCATCACAATATCAAGCACCTTGCTTAGCCCTTACTCTGACACAATTGGTAACTTTCAGAAAGAGATTACCACTTGTTTCTGTCAACCACTTAGGTGGTGGCTGTTCTGTCAGAAATTGCCCTTGTCTATTGAATAATGCTGTCTTTCTGTGTTAAGTCCTTTGATGTCTAGGAATGTGGACACTTTAGCCTTTTGTAATAAATGTTACTTCCAGGCAGTGTCCACTTTGATCTTAAAAACTGCATTTGCCTTCCTGATAATAAAAGAATCGTTACCCAAGCACTCTGAGAAGCCTATCAGCAATTCCATTATCTCTGCGGTCACCAGAATGTGCTTATAAACAGACGCACTTTAGGCTAAAATTTGCTTCTCTAGATGTGGGGCTTTACGATACACAGGATGAATGCCGTGTGTCTGTACATCTCTCTCATAACCTTCCATGTTGCAAGAAACTGCAGGAGTGCCTAGCTTTCTGGAGAGAGGAAGCTGGAAAGACAGGCAAAAAGAAACTAAAGAGAAATATACAAATCCTTTTGTAAACCACAGGACCTTTCATACAATATAAACTCAAAAATTATCTTCCTATAGCAAGCCTATCAAATGTGTAAAAGCAGCAAGACCCATGTTCCCTTATTTACTCTGTTATTATTTAAGTTTTCAGTGACTGTTGTCTAGAGCAATGTTTTTCACCTTGGCAATCTTATGAAATGAGTCAGACATGACAAGTATTTAACTATTAAAGAACTAGACTGAATTAAATTAAAATTTTTAGGGTATTATACTAATATATAAGCATATATTATTCTTCAAATATTTAGTTTCAGTTAATATGCACCTATGTTCCAGGGGTGTGGCATAAATTGTATTTCTTAAAATAAGGGGGACTAGAGAGATGGCTTGTTGGTTAAGCACACTGGCTATTCTTGCAGAAGACCGGGATTCAATTTCCAGTACTTATACCGCAGCTAACAACTGTCCATAACTCCAGTTCCAGGGGATCTGATGGCCTCTTCTGTCCTCCACAAGTGACATGGGTGCACTTACCTACATTCAGGCAATATACACATACACATAAAATAAAAATAATAAATAAAATATTTTTAAAATGTTATGCAGCCCAAATAATTCAAGATCAGCATATTTCTGAAAGTGGGAAACATGACCTTCAATAATTGTACCATAACTTTGAATAAAAAGAAAATATTTTCTTATATTTGCAAAATAATCTCATTTTTAGAAAACCATCCCTGTAAGAGAAAATAGTTCCAGTTACTATATTGCAGTCATTATTTGAATTGGACTGGACTGGACTGGACTTGACTAGACTAGGTTGGATTGAGTTGGATTGGGTTGGCTTGGGTTGAATGTACCCCATTTTTGTTTCTGATTATGGAAAGTGCAATGTTGGCTCCTTCTGGGAACTTACATCATGGAATGGAATGCTTTTAGGAGATTCTTGTTATTCATGGCTTTTAAGTTTCCTCATCCCTAGTTTCTCCTGCATGCAGAGCACTTAGGGAAGTAATCTTTTTCTGTGTGACAAAATGTAACCTGCCCCTTTAGCCTTTAATGACAAAGGAAAAGATGTTCATCTGCTGTCTGCTCATTAACTTACTTCTTCAAATTTATCTTAGCATCTAAACATTTAGAAGGAGCTAGAAGAAATTGTCCTGCCCAACTCCTTGTCGGTTCAAGCAATCACTAGATAATGCCTCAGATACTGTCTTATCTTTATTTGAAATCATCAGGAAAGTAAATTTACTGCCTCAAAAGCCAATCCATTCCAATGGACTTACTGACAGAAACATTTTCCTTTGCATTAAAAAAATTCTGTCTCAGGGCTAGAGAGATGGCTCAGCGGTTAAGAACACTGACTGTTCTTTCAGAAGACCTCGGTTCGAATCCCAGCACCCACATGGCAGCTAACAACTGTCCATAACTCTAGTTCCAGGGGATCTAACAGCCTCTTCTGTCCTCCACTGGCATTGCATGACATGGGTGCACTTACCTACATGCAGGCAATACACACATACACATAAATTCTTTCTCCCTGATTCAAAATTATTCTAGCCGAGAGGCAGGAGGTACCTAATCCCTCTTCAGTGACATCTGTCAAAAGCATTTGAAAACAGTCCTCATGTCTGTTTTCTTTTCCAGGCTGAATATTTCCTCTTCTGTCATTAGGTCCAGAATCGTGTTTTTATATATATTTTTAAAAATTAGTAAGGATGGATACACTGAGTAGGGTATACTTGCCTACTACCAGCATCCTTTTATTCTCTCTAAATCCCTTAGTTCACAGAAGCATCAAGGACTCTTTATCTAGGCTCATTGCCTAGCCTAGAAATGCCTAGCACTGGCCGTGACCTGCTGCCATGCAGGACAGTTTGGCACTTCAAATACTGCCGATCCCCTGAGGGTCAAAGGGCTATCATGTGTAGATGCCTCATGGGCAGGTTCTGCAGTTGGAAGTTGGAAGTCCTTGGTTATAGTGATTAAATACTACCTCTGTCCAAAAAAGTTCCATTGCCTCTCCACAGAAGTAGTAGAATGACTTCTGGAAATTTGCCCAGCATTAGCCTTTGTTCTTCTGAGAAGAGAATGAAGAACTTGCTGACATTCTTTGAAGTACTAGACCTGGGTCCAGTAGTGCAGGCCTGCAGTGCCCTGGGTGCAGAGGCAGGAGGAGTGGGTGTTGGAGGAGAGCCTGGACTATA